CCTGTGCTGCTTCCTGTGTAAGGCAGGGTCGTACTCTCCGAATGTTGTAGAGCATGAACCTGCAGGAGCGGGTCACCGCCTTGATGTTAGCGGAGAACGACAGGGTGTTGTCCAGGGTCACGCCAAGGCTCTTCGCACTCTGGGAGGAGGACACAACGGAGTTGTCAACCGTGATGGCGAGATCATTGAACGGGCAGTCCTTCCCCGGGAGGAAGAGCAGCTCCGTCTTGCCAGGGTTCAGCTTGAGGTGGTGATCCGTCATCCATACTGATATGTCTGCCAGACATGCAGAGATGCGATTCGCCACCTGGTTATCAGAAGGGGGAAAGGAGAAGATTAGTTGTGTATCGTCAGCATAGCAATGATAGGAGAGGCCATGTGAGGATATGACAGAGCCAAGTGACTTGGTGTATAGGGAGAAAAGGAGAGGGCCTAGAACTGAGCCCTGGGGGACACCAGTGGTGAGAGCACGTGGTGCGGAGACAGCTTCTCGCCACGCCACTTGGTAGGAGCGACCGGTCAGGTAGGACGCAATCCAGGAGTGAGCCGCGCCGGAGATGCCCAGCTCGGAGAGGGTGGAGAGGAGGATCTGATGGTTCACAGTGTCAAAGGCAGCAGACAGGTCTAGAAGGACAAGAGCAGAGGAGAGAGAGTTAGCTTTAGCAGTGCGGAGAGCCTCCGTGACACAGAGAAGAGCAGTCTCAGTTGAATGACCAGTCCTGAAACCTGACTGGTTTGGATCAAGAAGGTCATTCTGAGAGAGATAGCAAGAGAGTTGGCTAAAGACGGCACGCTCAATAGTTTTGGAAAGAAAAGAAAGAAGGGATACTGATCTGTAGTTGTTGACATCAGTGGGATCGAGTGTTGGTTTTTTGAGAAGGGGAGCAACTCTCGCTCTCTTGAAGACGGAAGGGACATGGCCAGCGGTCAAGGATGAGTTGATCAGCGAGGTGAGGTAGGGGAGAAGGTCACCGGAGATGGTCTGGAGAAGAGAGGAGGGGATGGGGTCAAGCGGGCAGGTTGTTGGGCGGCCTGCAGTCACAAGTCGCAGGATTTTATCTGGAGAGAGAGGGGAGAAAGAAGTCAAAGCATAGGGTAGGGCAGTGTGAGTAGGACCAGCAGTGTCATTAGACTTAACAAACGAGGATCGGATGTCGTCAACCTTTTTTTCAAAGTGGTTGACGAAGTCATCCACAGAGAGAGAGGAGGGGGGGGGGGGGGGGGGATTCAGCAGGGAGGAAAATGTGGCAAAGAGCTTCCTAGGGTTAGAGGCAGATGCTTGGAATTTAGAGTGGTAGAAAGTGGCCTTAGCAGCAGAAACAGATGAAGAAAATGTAGAGAGGAGGGAGTGAAAAGATGCCAGGTCGGCAGGGAGTTTAGTTTTCTTCCATTTCCGCTCCGCTGCCCGTAGCTCTGTTCTGTGAGCTCGCAATGAGTCATCAAGCCACGGAGCTGGAGGGGAGGACCGAGCCGGCCGGGAGGATAGGGGACACAGAGAGTCAAAGGATGCAGAAAGGGAGGAGAGGAGGGTTGAGGAGGCAGAATCAGGAGATTGGAGGGAGAAGGATTGAGCAGAGGGAAGAGATGATAGGATGGAAGAGGAGAGAGTGGTGGGAGAGAGAGAGCGAAGGTTGCGGCGGCGCATTACCATCTGTGTAGGGGCAGAGTGAGTAGTGTGGGAGGAGAGCGAGAGAGAAAAGGAAACAAAGTAGTGGTCGGAGACATGGAGGGGAGTTGCAGTGAGATTAGTAGAAGAGCAGCATCTAGTAAAGATGAGGTCAAGCGTATTGCCTGCCTTGTGAGTAGGGGGGGACGGTGAGAGGGTGAGGTCAAAAGAGGAGAGGAGTGGAAAGAAGGAGGCAGAGAGAAATGAGTCAAATGTGGTCATAGGGAGGTTGAAATCCCCCAAAACTGTGAGGGGTGAGCCATCCTCAGGAAAGGAACTTATCAAGGCGTCAAGCTCATTGATGAACTCTCCAAGGGAACCTGGAGGGCGATAGATGACAAGGATATTAAGCTTAAATGGGCTAGTGACTGTGACAGCATGGAATTCAAATGAGGAGATAGACAGATGGGTTAGGGGAAAAATTGAGAATGTCCACTTGGGAGAGATGAGGATTCCTGTGCCACCACCCCTCTGACCAGATGCTCTCGGGGTATGCGAGAACACATGGTCAGACGAGGAGAGAGCAGTAGGAGTAGCAGTGTTTTCAGTGGTAATCCATGTTTCCGTCAGCGCCAGGAAGTCGAGGGACTGGAGATTAGCATAGGCTGGGATGAAGTCAGCTTTGTTGGCAGCAGAACGGCAGTTCCAGAGGCTGCCTGAGACCTGGAACTCCAGGTGTGGGGTGCATGCAGGGACCCCCTCTCACCCGCAGAGGGGGGAGGAGGGAACTGGTGTGGGGGGTTTTGACACCTCACACCCTGTTGTAAATCAAACAGAGGAGATCCAGTGTCTCCCTCTCCAAATTCACAAAGGAATGTGCTTTGTCTCCAGACACTTTTCCCGCTGAAACTTTAACACGCTCAAAAGCGAATACTGGAACAATATTCCTAACAGAGTACGTGGGGAAAGGTCAAAGGCGGTCTATAGAAAACTAATGTCATATTGTTGTTATTTTGTGATGTCATTCAAAATGTTATAGAGGAAATACAGTAACTTGAAAAGTATATACACTATATGTGTGAAGTGTCCATCCGATGCTTGTGAATTAAATATGAAAAATGATGAAATAATTTTTGTTAAGATAGGAATGTGATTTTAGGAGTCATAAGAGATAATTTGTCTCCTCTAAACTTGGCACAGTAAGTAGCCACGCCCTGAGTGAGGTCAGAGAGCGTGTCAGCCTGACGGAACCAGCCCTTTCGACCAGAGTGTATAAAAGGATGGGTTACGAATTAACATATCAGACCAGAAAACGTGAAAGCGGGAGCTACACATTTAAAATGGTTGGAACTTTGAATCTCAACACGATGTGGAGAGAATAAACTCACCTCCGGACAATCACTGGTACGGCTGATTAGCTGTCCTAAGTAAGGTATCTTCGAAAGGGAATTTAAGTAGGCCCATCCTATTACTCTGCTCAAACCATCGTATTACGCTACTCTCATCACCCCACTGGGGAACCATCGATACGGCTGGCGAGCCTATCTTCCAAGAAGCAACTTCAAGAGAGACGGGAAGAAAAATATATTCTGTAGTTCTGTTCAGCACTACATGACAAGTCACCGGATACCAGACAACTGCAGAGGAGAACAACAGTAGAAGACTTGTTGGAACTTTTGGACAATCAGAGCCTTACAAGCGTGCCGTGGAAAGGCCCAACCAAACCCCTTTGCAAGAAGGCCTGGTTCCGAGTGAAATACGCGAAGAACCAGGACATTCACACGTAAATACATTCATGATTTCTTACTCCAAACGGGTGGCGGTTCGTGTGCAAAGTACATGATTACTGTGAGAGTAGTTTCTAAATCTACCAAAGTATAATGTCTCTGTCCCTCTCTGAACGAGCTATACAAAGTAGCTAGCTTAATGAGAGGAGACCACTGCAGGACTAAGCACGGTTATAAACACACTTTCCCTTAAATCCTGCCAACCAGCCCCCCCTCCACGTATATATAGCAAGACATAAGCTATAAACGTAGCGTAAGTTACAGCCAACCGACATGTATAAAGCAAGAAATAAGATATAAACGCGTGTGAGGTAGAATGCCCTGCCCCTTCACGGTCAGGCAGTTTACACTGTTGGCTTAATTATTGTTCCACAAGGAAAAGCTACAGCCATTCATGTCTTCTCTCCTTCATTCAGATAGTGTATGAGACAAAGGCTGATACTGTATGTCCGTATGTAATCTTTACTATTATACAGTATTGCGCAGTGTTTACTATAGAAATAGTTTATTACACTGTTGGCTTAATTTTTTCCACAAGGAAAACTACAGCCATTCATGTCTCCTCACCTTCATTCAGATAGTGTATGAGACTAAGGCTGATACTGTAGGTCCCATTCTATACTATCGTACAGTATTGTGCAGTGCATACTACAGACACAGTAATTTTACACTGTTGGCTTCATTTTCCAGTATTGGGCTGAGTTTATGTTAGCCCAACCATAGTGAGATTACACTGGTGGTTTTTTTTCACATATGTGCAATAGTTTTTGTTACACAGTACAGACAGTAACTATCATAGTTTCCCTCAAATCTCAGCTCTATTACACTGAGGTAGCAGTGTTTACTATAGTTATATTACACTACTTCACAGTACAGACAGTAACTATCCCTTCATTGGAAACTGACTGCTCTATTACACTACAGTTTTTTTCACACAGTGTGTAGCTGGGTTTACTAGAGTTTTTACATTTTAGTCATTTAGCAGACGCTCTTATCCAGAGTGACTTACAGTTAGTGAGTGCATACATTTTCATACTGGTCCCCCGTGGGAATCGAACCCACAACCCTGGCGTTGCAAACGCCATGCTTTACCAACTGAGCTACACAGGACTATATTTTGCAGTTGCACTATTTACAGTAGGCTACATACAGTGACTATCCTAGTTTCTCTTGGAAACTCACTTTTCAGCTATTACCCTACGGCCTTGCACAGTGTGTAGCTGGGGTTACTAGTTCTGTTGTACTTACAGTTAAGACAGTAGCTATTCTAGTTTCCCTTGGAAACTTACATGTCAGATCTATTACACTGAGGGTTTCAGTATATAGCTGGGTTTACTATAGTTTTGTTACATTCGTTTACGTTTAAACTAGGTCCCGTGTAGCTCTGTTGGTAGAGCATGGTGCTTGCAACGCCAGGGTTGTGGGTTCGATTCCCACGGGGGGGCAGTATGAGAACTCACTAACTGTAAGTCGCTCTGGATAAGAGTGTCTGTTAAACGTAAAAATGTTTACAGTACAGACAGTAACTACCCTAGTTTCCATTAGAAACTGACATAACAGCTAGATTACACTGCTGGGGTTGCCATATTATTTTTGTTATACTGCAGGGTATACACTACCCATCTCTTCTTCCCACAGACAGAAACTACCATTTCCAGTATGGCGTTTTGCCTTGAGAAATGCGAGGTGTCCCTGCCCACAAGCAGCGGACTGCGTCTAAGAAGGTTGGCACTCTGCAGTTATCCTGTGGTGCTTGCCGCTGGCATTGGCAGCTTCTCACAGGCCCGAAAGCCACTGAGAGAGACAAGTGGAGTCCCCATGGGCACTGAATACAGTAAGGGAAGGCTACGAACTCCAACTCCGATGCTGGCCACCGCTATAGTTTTGGTGCCTCAAATGTCTCAGGGTCTTCTAGTGTTGACGCCCTGGTTGACTGAATGTTTCCGAATTAGTTCAGATGAAGGAGTGTCAACCTACATCCAAACCCATCATTCTGACCAAGGGTTCTGCCTCGCGATGTCCATAGACTCTACTCTCATGATGGCAAAATCCTATCCTACCTCAACCGTTTCTGGCTCGGACGAGCCATGTCTGTGTTAGAGTGCCAACAGTTACTCAGCCTACTGACGATGGCTTCACTGTTGGTTCCGCTGGGCATTCTCCATCAGGCCACTCCAGCGACGGTTCAGCTCCCACGGCCAGCACCCAAAACAACACCGTCAACGGTTGATGATGAGTGCATGTTTGAGGATTCTATCGAAGTGGCTTTCCCGCTCCTTCCTGGTAAAGGGGGTGAGCCTGATCAGAGTCCACTGCAGAGAGCTGGTGTGAACTGAAGCCTCTCTGACGGGTTGAGGTGCTATGTTCAGAGGCAGCTAGCTGCTGGATCCCCCCCATGAAGTGGTCAACACATCAATGTGCTGGAGCTCAGGGTGGTTCGCCTAGCTCTTCAGAAGTTCCAGCCCTACCTGGTAGCACAGCATTTCCTGATCCAATGGCTCAGGAGCTCTTGACAACCTTTTCTTCAGGCTGGGGGGTCCAGATCCACACCGCCTCCAGCCTCTCATTAGTGGACCAGCCTTCAGGAGAATGTAGTGAACATGTTGCGGAACGCCGTGGTTTCTTTCACAAATGCGTCATATCAAATGGGGTGGGGCATATTCTGTACCTGGTTTGAGAGTCATATGTGCAAACGGTTTTATGGTTTTCACTGCTTGATGCGGGCCAAGCGGCATCCATATTGAGAGTGTATTTAGCCGCTATCTCGTCATGACGACGGCCAAGAGAGACCCATGGCTGGCTACCCATTGCTCTCCAAATTTATGAAGGGAGTTTGACGTCTGTTTCCAGCAATGGCACAGTTCTGGGCCAGAGCCTATCGATACAAAGACTCTCACATTGGATTGTGGACATTATTACTACAGCATATCAGCTGGCCAGCCGGCCTCTTCCGTCTGCTGTATTGGCGCATTCTACTAGAGGAGTAGCTACATCGTGGGCACTGCTCCGAGGAGTTCCCCTCAATGACATTTGCGCCTCGGCCAGTTGGGCATCGTGTAGCACCTTTTTCTAGGAACTATCGAGTCGTTGTTGCCCCCACCAATGAGGTCAGAACGACTGTGCTGGGTGTTGCTTCCGCTTCCCTGAGTGGGGATGGAGGGACATAGCAACTATGACGGCCCTGAGCTCAGTCCAATGGGACTTGGCTCTCTGTCTGGCCCTTATCTAGTTCACAGATTAATCTGGTATTGTGAACCTTGGACCACACACCCACTCCACTAAATAGCAGGCTAGTGATTGCTTTGCAATGCTTGCAGTTAGCCACTGATTCCTTCCAAACCACTCATTGTTGAATTTGCGATTTCCAACTTGTTGTGTAATGTTTATGTCCAATGGCCGATGAGCACCAATACGTTTTATCTATAATTTCTCTTCATAATTTCTCTTCATGTGACAAGGATTGAAAAGGATTTGCCAGTAGATTGTCAACTTGATTCAAGATGATGACTGCTAGCTTGCTGGCTAAGATTTTGAAAGTATGATGTTGACATGATCAGTCCAATTAACGCTACGGTACATATAACGTGATTTGACATCATTTTATCTGTGGCCAATGACCTTGAGCCTTCTTGGATGGGCACTTCTAATGTAACTCTATGGCAGCACCCAAGGGGCTTGCATTTTCGAGCTCTCCCCTTAGATTTTTGCGGTGACGTAGTGTCCCCATGAGTGACAGAACACTGAGCCAATCATGGCACAACTAGAGAATATTACCAACCCCTACACTCCGTATATTCCACTGGCTGCCCCACCACCACAGAAAGCACTGAGCTAGGCTGAAACACCTGCATTTTGGAGCTGCCTTACTCAAGAAAGCAAAAAATCGACCATGTTTGTATGCGGCTCTGCCCCACCTGCCCTGAATGACGGGTCGCCACTGCTGTACAGCTTTACACTCTTCCCATCACCCATGCCACTCCCTTCTCCTTCGTTTCATTGGTTTGGTCATTGTCTGACACAGAGGAAATATTATATCGCTTTCACAGATCCACAAAAAGAACAGAATAAAGATGATCAAAGATTACAAAGGTTAAGTGGAGTGTTGAATCAGTTGACTCATAACACTATAATGTTAGTCAATATGAAGTTCCACCGCTTGGTACAATATTTCAATCACTTGGGTAAATTTATGAATGCACATTGTATTTTCCATTTTCCCTGCATGTTCTTCTTACTGACTAAATGTTAATTTAGTACAGGGCTGATTTTCCTGTTAGTCCCGCTCTCAAGTGTGGCTGCCTGGAGATGAGGTAAGGATCGTTCTACTTTTGATGATTCTACAGGATGTGAATGAAAATAAAAACATTCTGTAGAACCTGTGTCCGCATCCTCAACAGAAAGCATTTATGAGAATCATTGAGAGGTTTACAATAAAAGGCATTATTAATAAACCTGTTTGTTTCCTGTTTTGAGTCCAGGTGACTACTTCATGAAGCTGGTTGAGAGAATGCCAAGAGTGTGCAAAGCTGTCATTGTGACGAGGTGTGAAAGAAGGAGTCAGGCGCAGGAGGTAAAATACCATAGTCCAGAGTTTTGCCGTTTGCATAAATCAAACGCCCCAAGCGTCAAACGAAACTGTACAAGGGAAACCATCCACCTTGGCCATAACACGCTCTCACAACAAAACAATCACTCACAAAGACAAGGGGAACAGAGGGAACACTTATACACATTCTAATTAGGGGAATGAGCACCAGGTGTGTGTGATTGACAAGACATGACAAGTGGAGTGATGAGAATGGGATCGGCAGTAGCCAGTACTCCGGTGACAGCGAACGCCGAAACCTGCCCGAACCAGGAGGGGGGGCAGCCTCGGCGGAAGTCGTGACAGTACCCCCCCCCTGACGCGCGGCTCCAGCAATGCGTCGACCCTGGCCTCGGGGATGGCCAGGAGGACGCGGAGCAGGGCGAGTCGGATGGCGACGGTGGAAATCCCTCAACAGGGAGGGATCGAGGATGTCCCGCCTTGGGACCCAGCAACGTTCCTCCGGACCGTACCCCTCCCACTCCACGAGATACTGAAGGCCACCCACCCGACGCCTCGAATCCAGGATGGAACGGACCGAGTACGCCGGGGCCCCCTCAATGTCCAGAGGAGGTGGAGGAACCTCCCGTACCTCAGACTCCTGGAGCGGACCAGCTACCACTGGCCTGAGGAGAGACACATGAAACGAGGGGTTAATACGGTAATCAGGGGGAAGTAACAACCTGTATGTCACCTCGTATATCTCACTGGTCATCCCCAAAGCCAACACCTCCTTTGGCCACCATTCCTTCCAGTTCTCTGCTGCCAATGACTGGAACGAACTGCAAAAATCTCTGAAGCTGTAGACTCTTATCTCCCTCACTAACTTTAGGCGTCAGTTGTCAGAGCAGCTTACCGATCACTGCACCTGTACACAGCCATTCTGAAATTAGCCCATCCAACTACCTCATCCCCATATTGTTATTTATTTTGCTAATTTGCAACCCAGTATCTCTATTTGCACATCATCTTTTGCACATCTATGTTAATACGAAATTGTAACTATTTTGCACTATGGCCTATTTATTGCCTTACCTCCATAATTTACTACATTCGCACACACTGTATATATATTTTCTGTTGTATTTTTGACTTTATGCTTAATCTTGGCCAGGTCGCAGTTGTAAATGAGAACTTGTTCTCAACTGGCTTACCTGGTTAAATAAAGGTGAAAAAAAACAACAACAAAAAAAACCTGTGGGCTCAGCTTCCGACAGGGCAGGCGGAGGGACAGATTCCGGGTCGAGAGCCAGGTACGAACACCGGGGCCTCCCTGCGGTGGCGGTCAGCGTTGGCCTTCTGACGACGCACAACGCACTGGAGGCGAACGTGGGCAGCGTCCCAAGTCTCCTCCTCGCGCCGAAACCAGTCATCCACCGCAGGAGCCTCGGTCTGGCTCTGGTGCCACGGTGCCAGGACCGGTTGGTAACCCAAAACACATTGGATGGGTGTTAGGTTAGTGGAGGAGTGGCGGAGAGAGTTCTGAGCATATTCTGCCCATGGCAGGAACACCGACCACTCCCCCGGCCGGTCCTGACAGTAGGTCCGCAGGAACCTACCCACATCTTGATTCACCCTTTCCACCTGCCCATTGCTCTCGGGGTGAAAACCAGAGGTCAAGCTGACCGAGACCCCCAGACGTTCCATGAACACCTTCCAGACTCTAGACGTGAACTGGGGACCTCGGTCGGACACTATATCCTCTGGTACCCCATAGTGCCGGAAGACGTGAGTAAACAGAGCCTCCACAGTTTGTAGGGCCGTGGGGAGACCGGGCAGAGGAAGGAGGCGGCAGGACTTTGAAATGTGGTCCACAACGACCAGCATAGTGGTGTTACCTTGGGAGGGGGGAAGATCAGTGAGAAAATCAATACTCAGGTGAGACCATGGTCGTTGTGGAACTGGTAAAGGTTGTAGCTTACCCGCTGGGAGGTGCCTAGGTGCCTTACTCTGGGCGCACACTGAGCATGAGGAAACATACACCCTCACGTCCTTAGCCAAGGTAGGCCACCAGTACTTCTCAGTCAGGCAGCGCATTGTACGACCGATACCTGGATGACCAGAGGAGGGTGACGTGTGTGCCCAGTAGAGCAGACGATCACGGATAAGCGCAGGCACGTACTGCAGCCCAGCTGGACACTGCGGTGGAGATGTATCTGTGCGTAATGCCTGTGCTATATCTGCGTCCATTGCCCATACTACCGGCACCACAATGCATGACGACGGGAGTATGGGGGTGTTGTCTCTCCTCTGTGTCATACAGCCGAGACAGTGCGTCTGCATTCACGTTCTTCGTACCCGGAATGTATGAGAGTGTGAAATCAAACCGGGTGTAGAAGACGGCCCACCTGGCCTTGCGAGGATTCAGCCTCCTCGCTGCCCGAATGTACTCAGGTTACGGTGGTCTGTCCAGACGAGGAAAGGGTGTTTCGCCCCTTCGAGACAATGTCTCCACACCGTCAAAGCTCGGACAACAGCCAACAGCTCCCTATCACCAACGCCGTAGTTCTGCTCTGCCGAGCTGAGCTTCTTAGAAAAGAAGGCACAGGGGCGGAGCTTGGGTGGCGTGCCCGAGCGTTGGGATAAGACAGCTCCTATCCCTACCTCGGACGCATCCACCTCCACTACGAACGGTAGTGATGGATCGGGGTGAGCCAGTACCAGGGCTGAGGTGAACAGACCCCGCAATCTACTGAATGCCAAATCAGCCTCAGCAGACCAGTGGAGCCGGGACGGCCCACCCTTCAACAAGGAGGTAATGGGAGCTGCGACCTTGCCAAAGCCCCGAATAAACCTTCGATAGTAGTTGGCAAAGCCAAGGAAGCGCTGCACCTCCTTTACCGTGGTTGGAGTCAGCCAATTACGCACGGCTGCAATGCGGTCTCCCTCCATTTCCACACCTGTGGTGGTAATGCGACATCCGAGGAAGGAGATTGACTGCTGGAAAAACTCACACTTCTCTGCCTTGGCATAAAGATCATTTTCCAGCAGTCAGACCAGTACTTTGCGAACCAGGGACACATGCTCGGCGCGCGTAGTGGAATACACCGGGATGTCATCGATGTAGACCACCACACCGCGACCAAGCATGTCCCGAAACATCTCGTTCACAAAGGACTGGAAAACGGATGGAGCATTCATCAAACCGTAGGGCATCACCAGGTATTCATAATGCCCCGAGGTTGTACTGCAGGCTGTTTTCCACTCATCCCCTTCCCGAATACGCACCAGGTTGTAGGCACTCCTGAGGTCTAATTTGGTGAAAAAGCGGGGCCCCATGCATTGACTCAATCACTGAAGGAATGAGGGGAAGAGGATAACTAAATCGTACCGTCACATTATTTCAGTGGTCGATAATCACATTCTTCTTCACAAAGAAGAAACTTGAGGAGGCAGGTGAAGTGGAGGAACGTATATAACCCTGGCGCAGGGACTCTGTGACGTATATTTCCATAGCCTCCATTTCAGCCTGCGACAGGGGATACACATGACTCCTGGGAGGTACAGCGTCTACCCGAAGGTTTATCGCGCAATCCCCCTCCCGATGAGGTGGTCATTTAGTCGCTTGCATCTTGGAAAACGCGAGTGCCAGATCATGGTATTCGGGGGGAATGCGCACGGTGGGGGTACCGTCTGAACTTTCCACCGTGGTCGCACTAACGGAAACACCTAGACACCTACCCGGACACTCACGCGACCACCCCGTAAGGTGACAACGAACGCCAAAGCCTGCCCGAACCAGGAGAGGGGGCAGCCTCGGCGGAAAGCAAAGCAAAGGGTGGCTTTTTGAAGAATCTCAAATATGAAATACATTTTGATTTGTTTAACACTTATTTGGTTACTACATTATTCCATATGTGTTATTTCAGAGTTTTGATACCTTCACTATTATTCTACAATGTAAAATATTGTAAAAAATAAAGAAAAACCTTTGAATGAGTAGGTGTGTCCAAACTTTTGACTGGTAGTGTACATATCAACACATTCACTGGAGACTAAGGAGTCACAAAGAGGCTATAAACATGTAGCGGTATTTCATATCAGGTTCCCAATACAATAATAGTCCCATGTAGCTCAGTTGGTAGAGCATGGCACTTGCAACGCCAGGTTTGTAGGTTCGTTTCCTACGGGGGGCCAGTATGAAAATCTATGCACTCACTAACTGTAAGTCACTCTTGATAAGAGCATCTGCTAAATGAGTAAAATGTAATAAGATTGAATAGATTTATAGTAAAATACAGTATTTATTATGTTACTACACAGTTTACAGCAAAAGTGGGTGACAAAGTATCTAACGCCAATTTCTTTAATCAAGAGTCAAAATGCATATAATATAATATATAATAATAATATAATATATGCCATTTAGCTGATGCTTTTATCCAAAGCGACTTACAGTCATGTGTGGTCCCGGGAATCGAACCCACTATCATGGTGTTGCAAGCGCCAGCCACATGCCTGATGCAGACAGCACCAAAGGCCTACAGAGTACCTCTTTAGTACTACCAGCCTCATTATCATGTTCTAAAACTAAGATGACAACAATGCTAGTATAGGCCATTTTTTTCTACTGCTGCAGATTGCCAACACTTTTTGATAGTAAACCCTCTACAACTGTAATATTCGCTAATATTCTGTATGGCCATGGATACATAGGCTATTGCAGATTTTTTCTAGGTGACAACAAGGAAAGGGAAGTGACCGACTCCAGTGACTCATCCCCAAACGAAAGCTAGGGTTTCACCGATGTGTTATTGGTATTTGAGAGTGGAATTATAGTCCACACATGCCTTTCTGACAGGTTGTCAGTCCCAGTGCCACGCCATATTCTGCTTCCTCATAAGCTATTGTCTGTTATTGAGCAGAGATGCAGATGCTTGCATAGATAACGTGTCTGCTTGGAACTGTGCCCATATATTATTCACTGCCAATAACCAGTATATACATTATTTACTCAACTACATAGACCAGGAATAGATTTAGTCTATTTAAAAAATATTTATATACACTACCGTTCAAAAGTTTGGGGTCACTTAGAAATGTCATTGTTTTCGAAAGAAAATCAATTTTTATGTCCATTAAAATAACATCAAATTGATCAGAAATACAGTGTGCCCTGTGTCCAACCCAACGAGGCACATGTGACAGACCTTCAGACGCGCTCGAAACCCCTGCACCCATCAGATTCAACCCCCATATCACCACCCTCACTTTGAAGGGACACACCTGAGACTGTCTCCCTAACATCTGGTCAGGACGGGGGAAATTAGAATCGGAGACAGGTGTGGAGTGAGTGCGTGTGTAGCAGGGGGATTTTTCATTAGGAGTCAGAGAAACCGAGCCAGGACCAGAGGTCTGTGGCAGCGAGGGGAAACAGAACGGTTTGGCCCAGTTAGAAAGGTGCAAATGGGCTCCGAAAACAACCGTAGATGGTGTCCATTAAATACATTAGGCCTACTCATGGAGAAGTCTGGTACTAGTAGATTATTAACCTCTGATGAGCCAGTTGAGTCATTTAAAACAAATTCGCATTGGACAATAACAACTGTGTGTGTGTGTGTGTGTGGATGGATGAATTGACCGATTTAAAAACAATCAATCGAAAGCAACAAGAAATGTATTCCCGTTAGCCCACAGCCGACAGCCAGGTAAAAAGCGCCACGGTGACGAAAAAGTATTCGCATAATTTGCTAAGTGTTTGAAATATTCGGCGCAACCCATATTGCACAGGCGGCTGCGGTGCCCACCGACTCCGCCTCTTCTCCTAAAGTATACATTGTACGCACCTAGCCGAGCAGATAGAGACCAAAGCAAGATACTTGAGAGACAGAGTAGATTATCAACTCAATATTAGGTGAATAAACTCAGACATGGGAGACCAGATGCACTATGCCACCAGTGCCCAGATTATTGGAATAATGTTTAGAGAGGCATCTCAAATCAAGGTAAACCACTATAGAAATGAATAAATGTTGTGTGTGTGTGTGTGTGTGTGTGTGTGTGTGTTATTCCATTTTTGTGTATACAAATTGATCCATTTAAACATTTTCCCTTATATTTGTGTCTGTTGAATTTTTACATAATATTTTAAAATAATGTAATTTCAAATATTCTACAGATGTTTCTGACCTCCATACTGTGGTCTGATGAGAGTGAAGTAATTGTCTACAGATCATTCCTGGAGTTTAAGGAGTTTCATGTAAGTTTTAAATTGAACCTGCACATCAATAACGGGGCAGCAGGTAGCCTAGCGGTTAAGAGTGTTGGGTCAGTAACCGTGAGGTTACTGGTTTGAATCTCTGAGCCGACAGGGTGAAAAATCTGTCATTGTGCCTTTGAGAAATGCACTTAACCCTAATCCTGTAAATCGCTCTGGATAAGAGTGTCTGCTAAATGACCCAAAAAAGACAATTAAGTGATTGATACATCTTTATCAAAAGATGTTATATCCCTCCTCTTTTTCAACAGAGACAATTGAAGAAGAGGTTTTCCCTTGGGAATCCTTTCCGCAAGAGAGACAGAGTGATTCCCAAATTCAGATGTAAGTCAACAACCTCACAGTCTCATCTTTACCTCACAATCTACCCCCAAACTATTTAAACTCTCCTTCATCACTCTCCTATCTCACCTCCTCATCACATTCATGTTGTTCTTCTTCCTACCTCAATGAAAAAGTGAAACCCCATCTATAAAAAAAAAAACGGAATACATTTTCCTTTCTTTCACTGCGAATACTGAGTGCAGACCTTACTAATTGTTGTCTTCTCTCAGCCACAGAGATGAGGAGAAAGTTCCAGGAGAAGTATTCTAGTTGGTCGATGCGTCAGATTAATTTACTGGAGAACTACTGCAGCGACCTGCTCAGGTGTGACACGTCTGTGACCTTCAGTTCAGAGGTCACTCAATTCTTCATGCCCAAAGACCACGACCTGCAGGCAGACTTCACCAAGAACAGGTAAACACATACAAATATTCCTTGTTTCAGCCTCTTTAAAAAAAGTAATTTCAGCCTTCTTATTTCACTACACTTATTATTAAATCATGGATCCACTTAATGGATGAGAGCATCTACTTACTAAATGGCAGCATTGTTTTAAGAGCACTCGGGCCTTCTCATAAAAACTTCAAGAAAATGTCCAGCAGGTATGTTACTGTCAGCGTTTGTCTCCTCTTTCACAGCATCATGATCCTGCCATTGAAGGAGGGGAACATGAGCAGGCAGCGTCTGAGCATGGGCAATGGGACACACCCCTTTGTGAGCCAGTCTTACCGCTGTGTGGGGCCCTACGACACCAAAGACACTAAGAACAGGCCCTTTAAAGTGGCCTTGGATGAGAGGCTGGACGTGCTCATCAAAGACCAGGCAGGTTAGAGTCCTCTTTAATATAGTTGACTTTTATTTACCTGTATTTAAACGTAGTTTAGCCCACATTTAATTTCTCCCTCCACTGTTAACCTGGGATAGGCTCCACTTTCAAGCTTTGTGTGGAGAAGCATGGAAGTCAAGACTAGTCTAATTAAGAGAAATTAATATGATAATAGATAAATTCCTCCTCCTCTTACACTTCTTCTGTCTCGGTCTGTGTGTGTTCATTCAGGCTGGTGGCTGGTGGAGAACGAGGATAAACAGTTGGCCTGGTTCCCTGCTCCCTACCTGGAGATGTGTGAGACAGAGGAGGATGGAGATGAATTGGATGGAATTCCCTTGGGCGGTGAGATACGTTTTACTGTACATTTATGCATATCCTGTCCACAGTCCAAACTTAATCACAGTAAATGTTGTGAGTTTGATTAATATACTAGGCCTACTGTGGATTGCACCTACAATGGATTGCAGTTAGAGCATGGATAAACCATTCCAAATATCCTGTTTTGAAGTTAGAATGTTCCACAGCCATCCAAACACCAGGGGGCAGTCCTCAGCTAGATAAATCACGCTCATTCCAACAAAGTAGAGAATATTAGACTGAGATTGTATTACAGATTACAAGATTGCATTACAAGGTTTTCTGTCATGGTTTTGAGATTTGTCAAGATCCACTATCTACAGTGCCTTCAGAAAATAGTCACACCCCTTGACTTAGTTCACATTTTGTTGAGTTACAGCCTGAATTCAAAATGTATTAAATATATATTTTGTCTCACCCAGTTACACACAATACCCCATACTGACAAAGTGAAAACATATTTTTAGAAATGTTTGCACATTTATTGAAAATGAAATACAGAAATATCTAATTTACATAAGTATTCACACCCCTGAGACAATACTTTGTAGAAGCATCTTTGGTGGTGATTACAGCTGTGAGTCTTTCTGGGTAAGTCTCTATGAGCTTTCCACTTTTATTCTGAAAAACTCCCCAGTCCTTAAAGATTAAAAGCATACCCATAGTATAATGCAGCTGCCTTGAAAATATGGAGAGTGGTACTCAGTAATGTGTTGTATTGGATTTTCCCCAAACATAACACTTTGTATTCAGAACAAAAAGTTAATTTCTTTGCTACATTTTTTGCAGCATTACTTTAGTGCCTTGTTGCCAACAGGATGCATGTTTTGGAATATTTTTATTGTGTACAGGCTTCCTTCTTTTCACTCAATTAGGTTAGTATTGTGGAGTAACTACAATGTTGTTGATCCATCCTCAGTTTTTTCCTATCACGACCAATAAACTCTGTAACTGTTTTAAAGTCACGGTTGGCCTCATGGTGAAATCCCTCCGGCACCTGAGTTAGGAATGACGCCTGTATCTTTGTAGTGACTGGATATATTGATACACCATCCAAAGTGTAATTAATAACTTCAGCATGCTCAAAGGGATATTCAATGTCTGCTTTTTTTTTATTTCTACCAATAGGTGCCCTTGTTTCCGAGGCATTGGAAAACCTCCCTGGTCTTTGTTGTTGAATCTGTGTTTGAAATTCACTGTTCGACTGAGGGATCTTACAGATAATTGTATGTGTGGAGTACAGAGATGAGGTAGTCATTCAGTGAGTCCATGCAACTTATTATGTGACTTGTTAAGCAAATTTTTACTCCTGAAATTATTTAGGATTGCCATAACAAAGGGGTTGAATAATTATTGATTCAAGACATTTCAGCTTTTCATTTGTAATTAATTTGTAAACATTTCAAATTCCACTTTGACATTATGGGGTATTGTGTGTAGATCAGTGACACAACATCTCAGTTGAATCCATTTTAAATGCAGGCTGTAACACAACAACATGTGGGAAAAGTCAAGGGGTGTGAATACTTCTGAAGGTTCTGTATACATTCCCAGAAGAACTACTGCTGATGGTATTGTAGAAAGGAATCTCTGTTGTTGTTTTAATCCACTTCCTGGTTTGTCCCTCAGGAACTCTCTTCTGCGCTGTGAAGAGTTACTCCACTAAGAATCATGACGAGGTGCCTGTTCCTATTGGCTCTGTGGTAGAGGTGCTGAGGAAATCAAACGACGGATGGTGGCTCATCAGGTATGTCAACATGTAACTATCTGTCTGAATGTCTGCCTCTCAGAATGCTATACAGACAAAGCAATCAAAACTGATTTTTTTTGGTCAGGTCTGCGATACAAGACAATACAACCAATGTACAACCTCTCATTGTCTTGGCTAAAACCAGGCAGCAGGAATGTGGGAGGAATTGTTGAATGCGTTGTCAAATCAAATCAAATCAAATCAAATTTTATTGGTCACATGCGCCGAATACAACAGGTGCAGACATCACAGTGAAATGCTTACTTACAGCCCTTAACCAACAGTTACTCCAAACATGTGATTATAGTTTGATTTGATTTGACTATGTGAACAGGGAGCACCTAATTAGCTGGCAACCAAAAGTTAATACCTGAAATAAAATGACATAAGTAAGGCGATCCTGCGGTTTTCATACATTTATTTGTTAACAAACAACAGCCAGGAGAAAACCTGTTCCCTTTGACAAATGATGATTGATGGTGACTAACGGCACCACTTTGACATTCTGTCAAGCAAAGACATGAAAGTCATCACCTGAAGATGTCCTGTAAAAAACAACAACTCTTTGAGCCCTGAGTGATGTAACTCTTTTCCCCTCCAGGTATAATGGCAGGACAGGCTATGTCCCCTCCATGTACCTGCAGCCTTACAACAACCCACGTGCTGGCTTCCTCACCCTGCAGAGGAAGCTGCACAGCTCCTCTCTCAATCTGGCAACCCACATGAACAGCTCTACTCTCAACCTGGCATCCAGTGGGAGCAGCCAATCTGGCAACCGCTACCCAGCCACCTTGTATGAGGAGACAGAGCTGCAGGAGCACACGACCCAGCCCAGGGGTGATCCGTATCGGGCCCCCCGTCTCCAAAAGACCCGCTCTCTGGAGCTCCTGTCTGAGACCCGTCCCGGCACGGCCGTCCCTCCATCCCAGAGAGAGAAAGAAGACCTGGAGTCAAACCTGGATCCGGCAATCCGCAAGAGCACCATCAGCGGGGCCAGGTCCTCCAACTCTGACTTCAGCTCGTCAGGCATTGAGTCTCTGGGCCGGAGTGTCGGGGGGCCTTCCACCAGTGAGGAGGAGCCCCAGAGCCCCCCACACAGCCCCAAGTCCTCACCCCAGCCAAGGGAGAGCAACAGTGGATGCAGCAGCCCAGATGAGAGCCTCTCCTCCAGCTCCAGGCCTGCGGCTGGGTCCTGTAAGATGCCCACCGCTGCCCCCAGGGTGCCCCCGCGACCCAGAGCCCAGGAGATCCTGACCCGGTGTACCTCCATTACCTGCAAGGCTGCCCTGGCCTCCAGGGGGGAGTTCTCCCTGCAGGACCGCATCCAGACCCACTAGAAAGGTTGGCAGCAGTGGTAGGGGAAGTGGGAGATAGGGTTATGGGGAGCCGTGGGGAGTGGGGTTTTTGGGGTTAGGGTTAAACTAGTCTCTCACGGCCGACTTTACATGTAGCGCAATACTTTGAGTATGGCTCGCGAGACTAGGGTTACATTTGCATAAAAATGCCTATGCTGTATGCTACACTAACCATGATTCCATCCAATCATTTTTATGCGCGTAAAGTACCTGTCGAATAAAAAACTAATGACAGGCCTTTTCTCCATAATCAGAGTTAAAATGGGAAGGAAACACATTGTACTTCTGTTTTTTATTCAGTAAATTAAAAGACAATGTGCTTTTTATGTGTATTACGTCATTACGCAAAGCTTTTAATTAACAAGAAGCCAGATCCATAGAATCAATCAAAAGGTCAAACATTTTTTTGTGTTATTATATTAGAATGTTCACTTAAATCTTTTGAGAAATTGATGGAAACCTAGCTAATGTTGAACTTTAAAATGTGCTGACATCTTTCTGATGCTATTTATAATTTATAAACCATTGCTATTTAATTATACTTATTTACATTTGCATGAAATGCTCATAGGTAGAAATGGATTGGCTACTGGTCTTAAACCTTTTAAAGCCACACTCCTTAATTTGTGCATACCCTCAAAGAGTAGGCCCCAAACAAAATAGCATTTCACATGCAAATAATACTTATTTTACTAGCCACTACTACTCCTATTACTACAGCTGAAACAAGCACATTAATGTTCACAAAATGTACCTTTTCTAGTTTGAGATAAAATTGTATAATATTTTTTCAATGGACCTTTCCTGTCTGTATGTTTTTAACATTTTCTTTATTTTCTTTTTATATTTAACCTTTATTTAACCAGGTAAGCCAGTTCAGAACAAGTTCTCATTTACAACTGCGACCTGGCCAAGATAAAGCAAAGCAGTGCGATAAAAACAACAACAACACAGAGTTACATATGGAATAAACAAAACATAAAGTCAAAAATAGAACAGAAAATATATGTGTGTGCAAATGTAGCAAGTTATGGAGGTAAGGCAATAAATAGGCTATAGTGCAAAATAATTACAATTAGTATTAACACTGGAATGATAGATGTGCAAGAGATGATGTGCAAATAGAGATACTGGGGTGCAAATGAGCAAAATAAATAACAATATGGGGATGAGGTAGTTGGGTGGGCTAATTTCAGATGGGCTGTGTACAGGTGCAGTGATCGGTAAGGTGCTCTGACAATTGATGCTTAAAGTTAGTGAGGGAGATAAGAGATTTTTTGCAATTCGTTCCAGTCATTGGCAGCAGAGAACTGGAAGGAATGGCGGCCAAAGGAGGTGTTGGCTTTGGGGATGACCAGTGAGATATACCTGCTGGAGCGCATACTACGGGTGGGTGGTGCTATGGTGACCAATGAGCTAAGATAAGGCGGGGATTTGCCTAGCAGTGATTTATAGATGGCCTGGAGCCAGTGGGTTTGGCGACGATTGTCTCTGAAAGCTATGGGATGACACAGGATAAAATATAGTAAGCTTGTATGATATAATTTGTATTAATTATGTTTTAATATTGTAGGATGATTTTCATTATGATGTTTAAATTGGGCATTTGTTTCAATGTTCTTTTTTAAATGTGTATAGTCTCGTAAGTTTTAGTTCTACCCCTTTGGGGTTGACCAATGACTGGTTTGTTTGTTGTAGCCTACATATCATTATCCTATTGGTGTCTGAAGTCACTGTTATTCCATACTGGAATTTTACTGTAACTATTTAGCATTACTGTCTGTATGCCTTATATGCATGTCTACCTAACATAGTGTGCAATAAACAATATCCTATACACTGAATTCAATGTATTCGTCTTCTCTCTTTCTAAGTCTTTTTCTACTGTGGTCATGTGTTTCTCTCCGTTTATGTTGTCCGCTCAGAATCTACTACCTCACAAGCAAACTGAACAGCTTATTTAAAAAATCCCTCCAACACACACACACACACCACCAGTTGCCTGCGAAGACATCACACCTGTGGTATTTAATGAAAGAACATAAGTGGAGGCAGATGACAAACACAAAAATGAAAAGAGGAGATGAAAAATACCTAAGAAAACACTAGAAGTGATTGAGGAGCTGAGATTATGATTCAAATGGTTCATTACACAGTTTTTCTTGTGCTCTTTTATCTTTCTAAATGAGTTAAATTCCATTCATTTCAAAGGCAATATGACTTAAACTGCAAAATGAATGAAGTGAAGAAAAAGCATTGTGTAAAAGCATACATAAGGATTGCCTTGACACTATTAGACATTGTAATGTGAGACTTTAGATTTGCTTCTGATTGTGGTGAGAATAACATCATGTTATGTAACTTGGTTGCTTTTGTTCTCTAGCAGTCAGTTAGAAAGACCGATGAAAGAAAATTGCAAAATAAAGCTCTTGTCACTCTTTTAGCTCCTTGGCATGGACACTGTTAGATGATAAACTAGTTTCTCAAGTTGTTGCTGTTGGCAGGAATCTTTCTCTGCGTACGTCGAGAAAAGGCCTTCGTTAACATGACTCATGTCACAGTAAAATGGATTCACTTCTTATCACATCTTTAAAATAACTTAACCAAATCATATTCAATATCAATCTTTATGGACAATATATGTTTTACTTTTCAAAACAAGAAAAAGAAGAGCATTAATTAGTTAAATAATCCAGTTATTCTGATAGTTTCCCTCTGAGAAAAGGAATAGTGGACTCACAGTAGCAATCCATTCCTTATCACAACCAGATTAAACCAGCCTACTGCATCTAGATTAAATATGTAAATAAAACAATAAAGGAAACATAAAAGAGAAGAATGTGGAGTTTCCAATTCATTACATGAATTGAAGTTCTCTGATTTCTTCTATAACTCTCACTATTGCTTCTGGACTTGTGCACGTGACATTCAAACTTGAAACTTGAAACTAAAACAAACCAACAGTGTACTTTTAGGAGTGGCATTTACAGTCAGTAACAAAGCGTTAGTGTTTTATCCAAACACAAGCGGGAAGAACACTGATAAACACGTAGATGCTGGGAAGAGCATCTGAACAGTCACATGGCACAGGGCCATTCTTGCTTACTACACACACGTGTTATTGGGAAAATTAGTTCATATTTCATGGAAAGTCAAAGCAAAGACAAGGGAATGTTCCTGAAGGGAATTGTTTAGGGATCAATAATTTACTGGAGGGAATGTTTTTAAGGGAAGGTTAATAATGTGAGAAAGGTAATAAAGACTTTTATTCAATTGACCTTTAACTCACTGGAAATACCGACTTTGCTGATATAAATAAAAACATTCTCATGTCTCCAATTTACTGGATGCATGTAAAATTTTGCCAGTAAGTCAGATCAGTGCAATGTACCACCACAAGTTGGCACCCATTCAATTAAGATTAAAGGAGGGAAACTTCAGAAATGTGACTCATAAAACAAGTCAATCATGTCAATCATCTCAATCCTCTCACTCAACAGGCCAGGTATCAGTAGATGCTCATCAGAAAGGCATCAGTACTTCTCACACTACCAACATTGCTGAGTAACAACTTCCCCTCGTCCAACCAGATCAGTGCATTGTCTTCCCAAGCATACATAGCTGTCATGATTAAACTGGATTTGAACCCAAATGCAGACAACTACACCGAGCCAGAGAAGGTTTAACAGGTTTATTTACAATGTTCAATATGTCCAGGTTTCCAATAATAGGGGAAGAGCAAGTCCAGGTTACAGGGAGGGTAACAGATCCAGGTTCAGAGCAGGTGTGGTACCGTAATGTCCTAGTGTCCGTGGTGAGTCCAAAAGGGAGGTCCGGTAGTGGAAAGCAGGATGGTGGTGGCAGGAGTGAAGCGGAGGCAGGAGTCAGGTTCCAATAATCTGTGGCACAGGAGAAAAGTAAATAGAACAGGCCAAAAACACAAAGAGCGAAAACAAACAGGTTGAGTCGGCAGCGAGACTAACATGGTCGTCTTGACTATGATCTGACGATGAGTGGCAAGTTTGACCGGGTCTTAAAGGCTGAGGTGATTATGGTGAATGAGCTGCAGCTGGAACCCTGACTCCCGCACACCAGACTTCACTCCTGCAATCAAGGACAGACAGAGGGGAGGGGGGAGAGCAGAGAGAGAGCTACCTAGCAGCAGTAGGCCTAACAGTACCCCCCCTCTACGGACGCCACCTGGCGGCCGACAGGGTTTATCAGGATGTAACCTATGAAACTCACGGACCAGAGCAGGATCCACAATGAAGCTCCTGGGCACCCAGGAACGTTCCTCAGGACCATACCCCTCCCAATCCACCAGGTACTGGAAACCACGACCCCGGCGGCGAACATCCAGAAGTCGCCGGACAGTGTAGACCGGACCCCCACCCACGATCCTGGGCGGAGGAGGGGGACGAGAGGGCGGGCACAGAGGGCTAACCGACACAGGCTTAATCTGGGAAACATGAAAGGTGGAATGAACCCGTAGGGAGGCAGGAAGCTGTAGCTTAACCGCGCATGGGTTAACAATAGACAGTATCTTGAACGGTCCTATAAAACGCGGCGCCATCTTCTTAGACTCCACTTTCAATGGAAGATCACGTGACTTAAGCCATACCTCTTGACCAGGAGTGTAACTGGGAGCCTGTGTCCGGTGACGGTTGGCTTGCCTCTGCATGTACGCCGAAGCTCGGGACAGAGCTACCCTGGCCTTCCTCCAGACCTTGAAGCAGCGGCGCATGTGGGACTGCACCGAGGGTACCGCCAGTTCCCTTTCTTGAGAAGGGAACAGGGGTGGTTGATAACCCAGAGCACACAGAAAGGGAGACAAACCAGAGGAAGCGTTAGTCAAGGTGTTATGAGCATATTCCACCCAGGGGAGCATGGAGCTCCATGACCCAGGGTTAGACCCTGTGACACAGCGGAGAGCGGTCTCCATCTCCTGGTTCGCTCTCTCGGCTTGCCCGTTGGTCTGG